GATAGCGAGGAGGAGCATGAGGACAACGAGGAGGAAGAGAAGCACAAGGACGTCATCTGCCACCGGTGGGCACGAAGTGGCCGTTTCCCCAGGTCATTTGCCTGTTCTCTGGAGCGTCAATCCTCAGTCCTGAGGGGTCTTTAAGGGGTCCGGACCCCATATTCCGAAATCTAGCGTCTCCCCGCGCAGCTGTCTGGGGCCCAAGAAAGCCCCAAAACGGGCCAAGAGGGCCATAAGAGGCCCCGAAGACGGTCCAAGAAGGCCCCGAGTCGCCGAAAGGTCGCTCCAAGATGCTCAAGATGGCCCCCAGACAGCCCAAGAGTTCTCCAAGACGCCCCAAGAGGTCGTCAAGAGACCTCCGGGCCCCAAGAGGCCAAGGTCATTGATTGTTTGATCAATTTTTGAAAAATTTGGCGTTCTCGCCTTTTCTGTCTTCCAACGCTCCAAGACGGCCCAAGAGGCCCTCAAGGCCACCCCAAGACGGCCCATGAGGCCTCCAAGAGGGCCCCAAGACGGCCTAAGAGCGCCCCAAGACAGCCCAAGAGGCGCCCAAGACAGCCAAAGAGGGCCCCAAGACGGCCCCAAAAGGGGCCCAAGAAAGGGAACGCAAACCAAAAATTCGAGCCTTCCGCCCCAAGAGGGCCCCAGGAGGCCCCAAGCGGCGCCCAAGAGGCCCCAAGAGGCCCCCAAGAGGCCCGAATCAGGCCCCTAAACGGCCCCCAAGAGGCTTCAACACTGCCTCCAAAGGCCCCCGAGAGGCCTTCCACGAGATCTCAATGAACATCCAATAGGCGACTCAAAACCGAAGCACGGTGGCGGGATGGACAGAAAGTCATTCGATACCGCTGCCGCTACCCTTCCATCGTTTACCCCAGAATGCGAAACAGATGGAAGGGTAGCAGCATCGCACCTTTTCCCAGAGGAACAAACAAACTGCATAAACATACTTTTTTGGAGCTGCGTGCTGCACTGCGTCCCCCCCTCCCTGGCGCGAAGTTCGCGCCACGGGCGGCGCTGGAGGCGCCGCCAGGGCGGACCAACGCAGTGGGCTTGAGTGGTCTAGGGGGGGTTCCTCTTCCATCTTCCCTCTTCCCCTTCGGGCAGGGGTTTGCCCCTCCCACTCCCCCTCCCCCTGTGCCTGGAGGGGGCGTTTTTTTTTCGACGCGTTGGAGCGTCCAAGATGGCCTCGGCGAGAGAGCCAATAGCATTGATGTTACAGTGATTCTGGCCGCGCTGCAGCCTCCTAGGGGGAGGGCGTCATTTACTGTGGGCCCTCATCTGATCGATCTCCTCCAAGATGGCCCCCCGATGATCCCGAGGCTCCCAAAGGGTACCCCAAAACGGCCCCGAGAGGTGCCCAGGAGGCCCAAAGAGGCCCTCATGAGGCCACAAGATGCCCTCAAGAGCCCGCCTCCCAAGAGACCACCAAGAGGCCCCAAGAGGATCACCAGAGGCACCCAAGAAGCCCCAAGATGCCACGGGACAGCCAAGAGACCCCCAAGACGCCCCACGAAGACTCCAAGAAGCTCTCGAGAGACATCCGAAAAGACTCCGAGAGGCATCCAAGAGGCCTCTGGCCTCTCTGCTCGCCCTTCTCCTCCCTCCTCCTCATCCGCCTGTTCCGCATCCTTACTCCTCCCTCCTCCCCCCCTCCCTCTCCCTGCTCCTCCTCCTCCTCCTCCTCCTCCTCCTCCTCCACCTCCTGCTCCTCCTTCTCCTCCTGCTCCTCATCCTCCTCCTCATCATCATCATCATAATCCTCCATCCTCCCCCATCTTGGGGTACGACGTCTTGACCAGCCCTTTATTCCCCTGCCTGCTCCTCCATCCCTCATCAGGCCAACTCGTCTGGGCATCGTTTCTGGATGGGCCAGCGGGGCTGCGGGAAGCGTCCAACATTATGGTCCTGCCATCGGTAGCTCAGCTGTTTCTCCACCGAGCCTCAGGCTCTGGGAATTGTGGCGGTACCACCATCACAGGGCCAGCTTCCCAGACGTTCTATTATTCTCCTTGCTATCAACATCAATATTATTATTACTCATATTATTGCTGTTATTCTTATTAGTAATATTAGTATCCTTCTTATCAGTATCACTAGCATTATCATTCGTATTACTACTATTACTTATCGTTTTAGTATGGTTGCTAGCTTTATCATTCGTTTAGTTATTATTACGATGACTACGCTTATAATTATTATTAATACTATGTTTCGTGGTGTTATTATTATTCTTGTTATAAGTAGCATTCGTATTAGTACAAGTCGTAGCCATATGATCAGAACATGTTAAATGTTATTACTCATAGCTTGATTAGTATTATTATAAAGCATTCATTATAAAAGTATGGCGATTTTCTGATATGAGTATGAAAAGAACAACGCTTTCCAGAAGCCTCTTGATACGCAATAGGGCCAATTGTTGGTTGACGCTGGAGGGGAGAACGTGCTTACGAAACTGGGCCAGAGTGCCGGCAAATTGTCCGAGAAACGCTGGCCCAGCGTTTCGCAAGGAGGCTCCTTGATCTCGACCGCGGAATCGCTACCCTCTCCTCCCCCGAACCTCGGGCACTCGCTCGAGACGTCCACCCAGACATGCGACGTCCTGATTTGTTCAGGACGGCGTCCCCAGAAGTCGCGACCCCTTCCCCAGGACCGGTTTCGCACTCTGACTAGTTTTTTGACGGCCCTGGGGCCTGGCGAGGGCCCCCAGGGGCCGCAAATAGCGAAAACCTCCCGTCCTGATTTTTTTTACCACGCGATCATGTCTGGGCACCTGTATTCTTAAGTCGGGCGTGTCCCCCTACAGGGAGATTTTCGACGAAACCTAAAAAATACTCCAAAACTACTCCCCAAATGCTAAAAGACAGTCGAACAATCGTTCCCAGACGATTTTGTGACTATTTTTGAATATCCCCCCTGTAGAGGGACAGGCCCGACTTCACTGGGTTCCCCGCTCGGGGAGGCCTCGTGGACCGGACCTCCTCGCAGCGGCGGAGGCGGCGGCCCACGCCGTGCCGCTCCTCGCTCCCCCAGGGGGGGGCAGCGCGACGACCTCGCTCCCCCGCACCCCCGGGGGGGGGCCCGGGCGAGGCCCTCGTCGACGGAGAGCTCTCTCCGCCGCGCCCCGGGGAGGCCCGGCGAGGGCGGCGCGGCGGCCCCCTTCGAGCCCCTTCACGACGCAGGCCGCAGAGCACACACTCCGGCGCAACTCGCCATCGCTCGGACGTCCACTCCCTGTGCTTTTTTCGGTTTCGTGCGTGGTTTTTTCGCCAAATGATCAAATGATCAAGGATGCTCCTCGATGGTCCTCGCCGACGGAAAAATGCACACGTCCGAGCGATGCCAAGGCAACGACACCCGCGGTTTTTCCCTCGAGGGCCCCCCCCCAAGGCAGAGCGCAGCATGCACCGCCTCCGCCCGATCGACGGGCGGCGGCTGCCCTTTTCTCGCCCGCGGCGGCGGGCCGCAGGCGCCAGCACGCCAGGCGTCGACACCGGGCGCTCTTTTGTGCAGTCGGAGTTTGTTGGATGCTGTGCCTGTTTTCCACCACCACCACCACCATAAGTTGGAGGGGGAGGGGTCCTCCTCGTCCTCCTCCTCCTCCTCCTCCTCCTCCTCCTCCTCCTCCTCCTCCAACGGGTGGTGGTGGTGGTGGTGGAAAACAAGCCCATCATTGGAGGGGACGCGCCAGAAGACACAAGCCCCTTCCCGGGGCCACCTTGCCGCAGGATCGTGTAGGAGGCATGGGTATGGCGAAACACAGGACACAAGGGTACCCTTGATTTGGCAAGGTCGACCTACTAATCAGCCTCGACTGCAATCGCCACCCTTAGCAGGGGGGGAACGGGTCCTGAAGGAAACGGGTCCAGGACGATATCTTCACCCTGAGTCGTTTTCTGACGGTCCCCTGGCCCGTGGAGGGCCCCGAGAGCCCGAAAACGGTGAAAAACCCCAGGACCCGTTTCCCTCAGGACTGGGCGCCCCCCTCGCGAGTAGTCGCCGAACCTCTTCTTCCCCCTGGGCCTCAGGCACTCGGGCCGGTGGCGGAGCCGCCACCACAGCTGCCCGCAGAAGTCCGCGAGGAGCTGCGCGCGGCGCACGCGGAAGTGGAGCAGCTGCTCGAGGGTGGCCTCCGGCGGGAGCCCCTGCCTCACGAGCGGCGAACGTATCCACACTGTCGAAACCGATCGTGAGGATGCGCCACAAGGATGCGGGCCCCTTGGACGCCCCCCCATGTCGAAGCTTCTCCGAGCGGGGCTGGCCATCGAGAGGGGTTCAGGATGGACCGAGGAGGCAAAGACGTCAGGGCACCGGGACGGCAACCCATCCTTACCATCGGCTTCGACTGCAACCATCGACTACACGCAAGAGTGACCCTGGGTAAGAGTAACCTTTGGTGCGCGGCTTTTGGGGGGCCGCGGGGAGACCAAACCTGGGCGCGCAAGACGCTGCTACCGCTTCGTTTTCAGCCATCTGAGGGCCCATCTGTGCCCGCACCAAAGGTCACTCCGGCGAAAGGCCACTCTTACGTCTAGTCGAGACCATGCCCCCGCGGTCTCGCTTCCGGGGCGCGATGCCGCGGGTGCGCGGTCGCACGGACGCGTCCCGCGCGGGGCAGCCGCGAAGGAACACTCCGTGTCCGGGCCGCGGCTCACGGGCCGCGGCCCGCGAGGCCGCGGATGCAGAGATGTTTCTCGCCCACGGCTGCCGCCAGGTCTGCGCCACCAGCTCCTCTCGGGCGTGCGCCGCAGAGTGGGCGGGGCCAGGACAATAACCGGAACCTCCTCCGCCCTCCATCCTCCTCCTCCTCCTCCTCCTCCTCCTCCCTCCTCCCTCCTCCCTCCCTCCTTCCCTCCTTCTGCTCTTCCGTTCTCTCCTCCCTTCTCCGTCCTCTCTCCTCCTTCCCTCCTTCTCCCTCCCCCCCTCCTGCTCCCCTCCTCCTCCTCCTCTCCTCCACCTCCTCCTCCTCCTCCTCTTTCCTCCTCCCCTCCTCCCTCCTA